CCACTGCACTCCAGCCTGGGGCACAGAGCAAGACTCCGTCTCAAAAAAAAAAAAATGAAAAGAAAAGGAAAGAAAAGAAAAGAAAAGGAACCAGACTCAAGGGAGTCCTGATGCCCTGATTCAAAGCCAGGGTGATACTACCCTAAAGTGCCACCTCTCGCCACGCAGCCCGTCACTTCCCTCTGTGAACCTGGCCTTTGGCAGAATGATGACAACATCCAGCTCACAGGGTCAACGAGCAATAAACAGAATGGCTCTCTGGAAGCTACAAAGTGCTGTATAAAGGACTGCCATTAGGTGATCTGTCACGGTGCACGTGGAACCTCAGCAGTGGAACCTCAGCAGTCACACCAAGATGACAGTAAAAGCACAAGAGCCGCACCGTAGCACGTGAGCCGATCCCACACCCCTCATATCCGCAGACACGGGGGCCACAGGAGCCGCACCCCAGAGCGTGAGCCGATCCCACACCCCTCACACCCACAGACACGGGGGCCACGGGAGCCACACCCCAGAGCATGAGCCGATCCCACACCCCTCACACCCGCAGACACAGGGGCCACAGAAGCTGCACCCCAGAGCGTGAGCCAATCCCACACCCCTCACACCCGCAGACACGGGGGCCACGGGAGCTGCACCCCAGAGCGTGAGCCGATCCCACACCCCTCACACCCGCAGACACGGGGGCCACAGAAACCACATCCCAGAACATGAGCCGATCCCACACCCCTCACACCCACAGACACGGGGGCCACAGGAGCCGCACCCCAGAGCGTGAGCCGATCCCACACCCCTCACACCTGCAGACAAGGGGGCCACAGAAACCACATCCCAGAACATGAGCCGATCCCACACCCCTCACACCCGCAGACACGGGGGCCACGCCAATGGCTCAGGGGACTTTTCGTTTTCACTATGTGATTTCAGCCTCCACATCTGTGATTTCCTGATGAATCCTGCTTGCGGCCTGGGGACCCCCAAACCACCGCCGTCCAGGCTGCATGGTTCACACGTTGTACTTAAAGCAAGCATCTTAGTGGGTGACCTCACACCAGCCACTGACATCTACCTGGAGGTGACAGAAGAGTAGTGACTGGAGACCAGGAAGGCTGTGCGCGATTCTCACACAGTATTTCCCCAGGCCTCAACGCTTCCAGGTGTGAGACCCCAAACCCACCGAGACAGTCAGGTCAAACATCCTCATCCACATTTCACTAAGCAAGTGAGGCAGGCGCTTTAGCCAGACCATCAGGTGTCCCTCTCTCCCACCGTGCGGACAAACGGTCCCTCAGGGGCCATCTCAGGCTGTACCTACCATAGGCACTGATGGAGCACCACCGGCGACGCCCACGCTCACCTCAGTGTCGCTGACGTCACTGACGCTGGCCCCTCCTTCTTCCCTAAAAGTTAACACACAGACGAAATGTACATCGCACACATTAAGAAGACACTCCTGGCCGGGCGCGGTGGCTCAAGCCTGTAATCCCAGCACTTTGGGAGGCCGAGACGGGCGGATCACAAGGTCAGGAGATCGAGATCATCCTGGCGAACCCGGTGAAACCCCGTCTCTACTAAAAAATACAAAAAAACTAGCCGGGCGAGGTGGCGGGCGCCTGTAGTCCCAGCTACTTGGGAGGCTGAGGCAGGAGAATGGCGTGAACCCGGGAGGCGGAGCTTGCAGTGAGCTGAGATCCGGCCACTGCACTCCAGCCTGGGTGACAGAGCGAGACCCCGTCTCAAAAAAAAAAAAAAAAAAGAAGACACTCCTTCACCATTTTTTGTTTTTGTTTTTTTGAGACAGGTTCTTACTCTGCTCACCCAGGCTGAAGCGCAGTGGTACGATCTCGACTTACTGCAATCTCCGCCTTCCGGGTTCAAGCAGTTCTCCTGCCTGAGCCTCCTGAGTAGCTGCAACTACAGGCGAGTGCCACCACACCAAGCTAATTTTTGTATTTTTTTGTAGAGACCAGGTTTCCCCATGTTGGCCAGGCTGGTCTCAAACTCCCAGGCTCTAGCGATCTGCCCACCTCAGCCTCCCAAAGTGCTGGATTTACAGGCGTGAGCCACCATGCACGGCTTCTTTAACCATTTTAAGAATACTATGACAAAACCATAACTAACTAGAATATTCAGTGGCTGGCATCTTGTTTAACAAATGCACACTAAAAGATGCTCCTAAGAGTCTTTCCGTTACAGTAAGAATTTCTGAACTGTATTACTTACTGGCTCCAGCTGGCCTTCTCAAACTGCCACACCACCCTTCATGGCATGCACCCCTCGCCCAGCTGAGCTCAGCCCCTTCCCGCACCTGCCCGACCCTTTCCTCCCACCTGCAAGACTGTGTGCACCCTGTGCCCCTCCTGGAACAGCCCCTCTGCACGGCCTCTTCTCCAACTCCCACCAGTCATGCAAGGCACAGTTCAAAGGTCACTCCCTCCACAGAGAGCCATTCTCAGCCGTAGCTGGAGCTAAACTGCCCTCCCCAGACCCTCTGTCTCCTCTCCTACCATCCTTGTCGGCACTCAGAACTGCCTACCTTGCATTTCAGCCCTTTAAGTACATTCCTTCCATAAACACATGAGGGTGGGACTCTGAGTCACCTGCTCCCACTCTTGTGTGATTTTTTTTTTTTGAGACAAAGTCTTGCTCTGTTGCCCAGGCTGGAGTGCAGTGGCACATCTTGGCTCACTATAACCTCTGCCTCCTGGGTTCAAGCAATTCTTTTCTTTTTTTTTTTGAGACAGAGTCTCACTCTGTCGCCCAGGCTGGAGCGATCTTGGTTCACTGCAACCTCCACCTCCTGGGCTCAAGCGATTCTTCTGCCTCAGCCTTCCAAGTAGCTGGGATTACAGGCACCCATCACCACGCCTGGTTAATTTTTGTATTTTTAGTAGAGACAGGGCTTCACCATGTTGGCCAGGCTGGTCTCAAACTCCCGACCTCAGGTGATACATCTGCCTCGGCCTCTCAAAGTGCTGGGATGACAAGCGTGAGCCACTGTGCCCGGCTGCACAGATTATTTCCAGGCTATGGTGTGGCACGTGCATCAGAGCCCACAGTCCATCCTGCCTGACTTGAACATCTCTAGCACAAGCCCAGGCACAGTCAAGGCCCACGGTAAATATTCAGGGCATAGGGAGGGAGCGGGAAAACCCTCCAGGTGAGTCCCTTGAACCTGACTCTTTGCTTTTGACAGTCGCTCCCATAGAGATGTGTTACAGGTTAAGCTGTGCCTCCCACAAACTTACGGGGAAGTCCTAACTTGTCTGAAACAAGTATATGCAGCAGAAAGAGCGTTGCCCTGAAGCTCCCCACACACCCCTTCCATTTTTAATTTTTATTCTAATTTTTTAATCTTTTTATTTGAGACAGAGTCTCGTTCTGTCGCCCAGGCTGGAGTGCAGTGGCGCAATCTCAGCGCACTGCAACCTCCGCCTCCCGGGTTCAGGCATTCTCTGCCTCAGCCTCCCAAGTAGCTGGCACTACAAGCAGCTGCCACCATGTCTGGCTAATTTTTGTATTTTTAGTAGAGATGTGGTTTCACTATGTTGGCCAGGTTGGTCTTGAACTCCTGACTTCATGATCCACCCGCTTCAGCCTCCCAAAGTGCTGGAATTATAGACGTGAGCCACCACACCCGGCCTTTTTTTTTTTTTTTTTTTTTGAGTAAGACTCTCGCTCTGTCACCCAGGCTGGAGTGCAACGGTGCCATCTTGGCTCACTGCAACCTCCACCTTCTGGGTTCAAGCAATTCTCTTGCCTCAGCCTCCCGAGTGGTTGGGATTACAGGTGCATGCCCCTATGCACGGCTAGTTTTTATATTTTTAGTAGAGGCAGGGTTTCATCATGCTGGCCAGGCTGGTCTCGAACTCCTGACCACAAGTGATCCATCCCCCCTCTGCCTCCCAAAGTGCTGGGATTACAGGTGTGAGCCACTGCACCCAGGCCCCTTCCACTTTTTTTTTTTTTTTAAATAACACAGATAATTGATTACGTTACATTAATAATATCTAACAAGGCTCTAGAGCTGGTAATTTCTGGGCTTGATATCACCACCAATAGCTTGAGTTCTTCCCATTTTACATTTTTCCATCCTCAGAAAATTGGCTCTGTCCTCAGTCAAGCCCAGTTAAGACAGCTACATTTCCAGGAGAAGAAAAGCCTGTTTCTCTTTCAGCGTTTCTTTTTATGTGAGAAAATCTTTCAGAAAAAAAAATAATGGCCAGACAGGGAGTGGGGCATGGTGGCTCATGCCTGTAATCCCATCACTTTGAGAGGCCAAGATGGGTGGATTACCTGAGGTCAGGAGTTCAAGGTCAGCCAGACCAACAGAAACCCCGTCTCTGCTAAAAATACGAAATTAACTGGGCATGGTAGCACATGCCTATAATGCCAGCTACTCGGGAGGCTGAGGTAGGAGAATTGCTTGAACCCAGGAGGCGGAGTCAGCAGTGAGCCAAGATCGCACCATTGCACTCCAGCCTGGAAAACAAGAGCAAACTCGATCGCAAAAACAACAACAACAAAAACCCAATGGCAAGGGAATGAGCATATCAAACTGGCTTAGGCTAATTCGGATTTATTCCTGAGTTGGGGATATGATCACCTTCCCTGAGCAAAACTCTTGATATAATTAACCAAGAAAAAAAAAACGAAAAAAGGATATGTGTCAGCTACAAGTGTCTTGACAGATCAACTGAGCCAACTGAGATTTAACAAGTTGAGACTCTCAAAGCAGTTTGGTTAATTTCCTTGACATTAGTTATTTACTAATGTTTACCAAATTGCTACTTTGTGTCATACTTTCTACTAGCCATTTACCTAACAATATCATGGCATTAAAATAAACTAAATCTTTATTTTTGTCAAAAGGGATGCCAAGTAAGATAGAAACAGAGCTCCTGGCCAGGCGCGGTGGCTCAAGCCTGTAATCCCAGCATTTTGGGAGGCCGAGACGGGCGGATCACGAGGTCAGGAGATCGAGACCATCCTGGCTAACCCAGTGAAACCCCGTCTCTACTAAAAAATAAAAAAAAAAAAAAAACAGAGCCCCTGTCTAAAACATCTTTTTTTTTTTTTTCTTTTTTGAGATGGAGTCTAGCTCTGCTGCCCAGGCTAGAATGCAGTGGCGCAATCTTGGCTCACTGCAACCTCCACCTCCCAGGGTTCAAGCGATTCTCCTGCCTCAGCCCTCTGAGTAGCTGGGATTACAGGCGCCCGCCACAATGCCCAGCTAATTTTGTATTTTTAGTAGAGGCAGGGCTTCACCATGTTGTCCAGGCTAGTCCTGAACTCCTAACCTCAGGTGATCCGCCCGCCTCAGTCTGCCAAAGTGTTGGGATTACAGGCGGCTCAGAGCCACCGTGCCCAGCCGACATCTTTTTCTTTCTTTCTTTGCAGGCTCCCCACCTGCTTTTTCTAGGTTTCAACCATAAGCCTCCAATCTCTTATCATCAGGTGGTTAGGTTGGAGTAATTCCAGCCAGGACCCTGGCTGGGCACTGGAGCTCAACCATGCCTGTAGAGTAAGGAATGACATATTTATATCATCACTAAGAACAAAAGCTACCACTTTTTTTTTTTTTAGTTAGCATCTCACCCTGTCGCCCAAGCTGGTGTGCAGTGGCGTGTTCTCGGCTCACTGCAACCTCCGCCTCCTGGGTTCAAGTGATTCTCCTGCCTCAGCCTCCTGAGTAGTTGGGACTACAGGCGCATGCCACCATGCCCAGCTACTTTTTTGTATTTTTAATAGAGATGGGGTTTCACCGTGTCAGCCAGGATGGTCTCGATCTCCCGACCCCATGATCTGCCTGCCTCAGCCTCCCAAAATGCTGGGATTACAGGTGTGAGCTACTGCCCCTGGCAAATCACTTATTAAACACTAGCATGTGTCAGGCACTGGGTGGGGTAGTTTATGAGTATTCTTCTCCACTGTGTATATTCATATTCCTCATCTCATGTGATGCCCAAAGGCAGATGATATGGTTTGACTGTATCCCAATCTCACCTTGAATTGTAATAATTACCACGAGTCAAGGGCAGGGCAAGATGGAGATAAACGAATCATGGGAGTGGTTCCCCATGTACTGTTCTCACGGTAGTGAATAAATCTCGTGAGATTTGATGGTTTCATAAACTCGAGTTCCCCTGCACAAGCTCTCTTGCCCGCCACCATGTATGATGTGCCTTTGCTCTTCCTTCACCTTCCGCCATGATTGTGACTGTGAGTCAATTAAACCTCTTCCTTTTATAAATTACCCAGTTTTGGGTATGTCTTTATTAGTAGCATGAGAACAGACTCATACAGCAGGAATTCTCCCCATTTTACAGACGAGGAAAATGGGGGCCAGAGAATAAAAAGAAGAGGAGAGAGTGCAACCTGTGGACAGCCTACATGCTTCCCTCCCACACCAGACGGCAACTGCTGTTTCACATATGCCTCCCACATCAGATAGCAGCCTCCTGCGGGGCAGCAGAGTGGGCTGGCTCGGGAGTGGGCTGACTCGCGTCTGTTCTCATGTCTGGTACGCAGCCAGCCAGGCCTGGTGTGGGGCTCCAAAATCGTGTGTAGACAAGTGATCCGCCGGGCCATGCCCCACAGTGCAGAAAAATGGGTGATTCCTTCTCAACCCTAAGCAATATTAAGCCCTCTTCCTTAGAAAACTAAATAAATACCTAATATCAGATTGTTTTATTGTTGCTTCCTCCTAACACAGAAAAACGGACGTAGGGTTAAGGGTACTGAGTACCATGTTGTATCTCTCCTGGTTCACGTGAATTGATGCATCTGAATGTTATGCCACTTTCTAAACTGAGTATCATAAAAACCTAACCAGGAAAAACAGAGAGTGACATATTGACCTTTTATGTTGAATGCAGCTCAGAACTGGGGTTGCGGCTGTCACCACCTGAGGTGTGCCCACCACAGAAAGCCATCCTGAAACCAGAGAGCTGCTGGTTATTTTCAGAAGACAGCCTGGGTCTCGCTCCTGGGGCAACGGGGTAGTATCGCCATGAGCTCGAAGAGAAGGTTTCCCACGAACACCCTGGGTGTCAGGGCCATTGACGGTTTAACTTCTCATCCATCCACACAGCCCTGACAGCCACTCAGTGCCAGGCCTGTGACAGAGAGACATTAAACTGAGAGCCCAGACGGGGGCGGGGAGCGCAGGAGACACATTCAACAAGCTGTAAGGCCTGCCTGCAGCACAGGGCTTCAACAACACATCACAGTTCAACTGCGGCCTGGGAAGGAAGGGATGGTTAATTTGATCCAGCAGCAAATCAGGTCAGCTCCACTCCAGAAGATTCCAAATCCATCCTCAACTCCCATAGTGTCCCCTCTCTCCTGGGCAACTGCAGCAGGCCCCACTCTGTCCCCTGCTACTCTCCTCACTCCACTACAACCCATTTCTCACCGAGCAGTGGACCAGTGTGTGACACACACAACACTAACCATGTCACCCTGCTCACTTCCCCACAGTAGCTTCCTATTGCACTAAAAACGAAGTTAGTGGTCCTCCATGGCCTACAAGGCCAGCCCTGCAGATATGGACCATCACCTCTTAGGCCCTGTCTCTCACCAACCCTCTGTAGCCCCTGACCTTCTTTCAGCTCCTGACACCCTACAAGCTGCATTTTGTCTCAAGCCTTTGCTCTTCCTCCAGATCTGGCCCCTTCTCAAAAGTCAACTGCTCAGAGTGGCTTTCCCCAACCACTCAATCTCAATCCTTCTCATTCTACCACACTGTCACTTTATTTTCTCCATGGCACTTGGGTTGTAAGCAATCATTTAGTCCAGTGCTACTCAAAGCATGGCCCATGGGTCAGCAGCACCTGGAGCTTGTTAGAAATACAGATTCTTTGGGAGGCCAAGGCAGGTGGATCACCTGAGGTCAGGAGTTCGAGACCAGCCTGGCTAACATGGTGAAACTCTGTCTCTACTAAAAATACAAAATTAGCTGCATGTGGTGGCGCACATCTATAATCCCAGCTACTCGGGAGGCTGATGCAGGAGAATCACTTGAACCTGGGAGGTGGTGGTTGCAGTGAGTTGGCATTGTGCCACCGCACTCCAGCCTGGGCAACAGAGTGAGACTCCATCTCAAAAAAAAAAAAAAACAAAAACACGCAAGAATATGGCCAGGCATGGTGGTTCACGCTCGTAATCTCAGCACTTTGAGAGGCCTAGGTGGGCAGATCACCTGAGGTCAGGAGCTCGAGACCAGCCTGGCCAACATGGCGAAACCCCATCTCTACTAAAATTTAAAAAAATTAGCTGGGCATGGTGGCGCGCTCCTGTAATTGTAGCTACACGGGAGGCTGAGGCAGGAGAATCGCTTGAACCCGAGAGGCGGAGGTTGCAGTGAGCCGACATCGCGCCACTGCACTCCAGCCCGGGCAACAAAGCGAGACTCCGTCTAAAAATAAATAAATAAATAAATAAATAAAATAAATAAATAAAGTAATAACAATGCCAATGATGACTTCACGTTGAGCAGTGCATACATTCACAGCGGTATTGTCACTGTCCATCTCCACGCCCGCACTGGGTGACAGTACCATGTTCCACAGTGACTGCTTACCAGTGTCTGTAATTTGAGGGCAGAGGAGGGCCCATCTTTTGTACCGCCACAACCCGGCACCATAATGTGCTCATCAAATGTTTCCTGAGCAAAGAACCTGCTTTGCAAATGCCAAAAGGGCTAACGAATGGTAAGATACTTTCACTTCCAGAATTAATTCCCTATAATGCCCCAGCTACTCTATGGAGAGGATGACTATCTCGCCCTGCCCTCTTAGCCGATGGGGAATCAGAGAGGGGAAATGTCTTGTTCCAGTCACCTAGCGAGAAGACACAAGGCTCTTGTCTCCTGCCCTGAGTTCTCTCCACAGGTACATTGCGCCCTGCAAAAGATGCCAACAGAAACAACACAGATTGCAAATGCATGGGAAACGTGTAGGAACAATGAAAGTCTGGGATAACAAATAATAAACATAATGATGCAATAACAACAACCGGACAGCACGAGGCAAGTCATAGGAACTCAGCGGAGGGAGAAAGGCATGGTGGTTAGCGCGGGCTTCCAGGACCGGCGAGCAGTATCCGAACCGCATTTTCGCAGCCGCGTAGACATAGGCGCCCACACTCTCTCACCCATGCGCACTCGCCCGCCCGCGCGCAGCCACACCCTCGGTGCCCGGGAGGCGGCGGCCTGGGCGACAGGACCTTACCTGTGGGCTTGGAGCGCCGAGGGACTCGGAGGAGCGCCCTGCAGGGATGCCTCGAGCCGCGCCCCCGCCCCGCCTCCAGCCCCTCTCCAGCGCTAGCAGGAGGACGCAGCCAGCTGCCAGGCGCACAGTCCCGCCCCGCCCCGCGCCGCACTCTACTTCCAGGGCGGCGCCCTGGCAACCCAAGACGCGACCGCCGGCGCGCGACTACTTCCGGAGTCAGACTTGCCTGGGGCTCCTCTGAGCTTCTTGTCCGGGGCGCCCGCTATGCTCCGGGCTTAAATCCTAGGAAATGCCAGGCCATCCAACTTCGACACTTTCGGGGCCCAGAAAGGAGATTGAGAAGGGTCTGGAGCACGGGATTAAGTCTAAAAAGGAAGGTAGAGCGGTATGATGATTAGGTCCGAATCCTAGGTTCAGCCTTAATCCGCTGTTTAGCCTCTCCTACCCCCGCTACCTCGGCTTCCTTATCTGAAGAAATGGTGATGTTGGTAGCAGGCGCCTCCTAGGGTGGTCGTAAGGATAACGTGATATTCTGGGCCCAGCATGGAGTCATCAACACATGGCCCACTGAAGAACACCTTGTTTCCTAAGCGTTCCTCAAAACATATTGTAAATCCCTTCCATTAGGAAGAGGCAACCTGGCCCAGTGAGGACGTTAAAACTGAAACTGGACCTGAATCTGAATCCCCTCTCCAAAAAACGACTAGCTATGTGGCTTAGGCAGATCACTTCATTTCTCTGAACCTCAGTTTCCTTGTCTGTAAATTGGAGATAACACCTACATTGAAGGGTTGTTGGGAAGACTATTTAAAAAAATAAATAAATAAAAGGAATGTAGTTGACATAGCACATGGTAGTTGCTCAAATACTTGTTTAATTGATTCATAATAAAAGCATGTATCCCAGACAGCTCTCAGCTATAAAAGAGCACTGGAGGGCAGGGTGCGGTGGCTTAAGCCTGTAATCCCAGCACTTTGGGAGGCTGTCGTGGGTGGATGACCTGAGGTCAGGAGTTGGAGAGCAGCCTGACCAACATGGTGAAAGCCCGTCTCTACTAAAAATACACAATTAGCCGGGTGTGGTAGTGCACGCCTGTAATACCAGCTACTTGGAAGGTTGAGGCAGGAGAATCGCTTGAACCAGGGACTGGGAGGTTGCAGTGAGCCAAGATCATGCCACTGCACTCCAGCCTGGGCAATAAGAGCGAAACTCCTTCTCGGGGGAAAAAAAAAAGTGCACTTGAAACTTGACAGGCAGTGGGAAAGAAGAGAAACAACAGGCTTTACATCCCTGCTCTGCTCTGATACATTATAGCTGTCTGAGTGTCAGCAAACCCACTGTATTTTTTTTTTTTTTTGAGAGGGAGTTCTGCTCTTGATGCCCAGGTTGGAGTGCAATGGTGCCATCTCAGCTCACTACAACGTCCGCCTGCCAGGTTGAAGCGATTCTTCTGCCTCAGCTTCCCGTGTAGCTGGCATTACAGCGCCTGCCACCACCCCCAGCTTTTTTTTTTTTTTTTTTTAAGTAGAGATGGGGTTTCTTCATGTTGGTCAGGCTGGTCTCGAACTCCCGACCTCAGGTGATGCACCTGCCTCAGCCTCCTAAAGTACTGGGATTATAGGCGTGAGCCACCTTGTCCAGCCAAACCCACCATATTAAATACAGTTTCCTTGTAATCCCAGCACTTTGGGAGGCTGAGACGGGTGGATCACAAGGTCAGAAGATCGAGACCATCCTGGCTAACATGGTGAAACCCTGTCTCTACTAAAAAATACAAAAAACTAGCCGGGCGAGGTGGCGGGCACCTGTAGTCCCAGCTACTCGGGAGGCTGAGGCAGGAGAATGGCGTGAACCTGGGAGGCAGAGCTTGCAGTGAGCTGAGATCCGGCCACTGCACTCCAGCCTGGGCGACAGAGAGACTCCGTTTCAAAAAAAATAATAATAATAAATTAATTAATTAAATACAGTTTCCTTACTGTGAATTGGAAATAATGATCATCTCTCGGGGTGCTGAAAACATTTAAATCCCTTGTGAATAGCACCTAGAAGGGTGTTTAACAGGTTTTACCACTTCCTTCTGCCCCCATGCGGCATACAGGCCATTCCAAAGAATAGTGAATACAGTTCTAGGAAAATTTGTGACCAACGTGAAAATTAACTGGAAGCTAGTAGTTCTGAGAGAAAAGAGGAAACCGAAGGCCTGACTCACAATGCTAATCTAATTGTGTAAACCTAGTTAAAAAAATCTTCAAGATAAAATCTTGCCATCAAGATAAAATCATTACCATAAAGTCCAAATTCCTTAATATGTTTTTAGTTTTAATCTTAACCATTTTCCTATATATAGGCTTGGTTTCCTGTCATGCCTAGGAAGACTCATCCACATAAGTTGGAAAAAAAAACTTATGAAACCAGATATACAATAAACTGAAAATACATGGGGCCGGGCGCAGTGGCTCATGCCTGTAATCCCAGCATTTTGGGAGGCCGAGGCGGGTGAATCACGAGGTCAGGAGATCAAGACCATCCTGGCTAATACAGTGAAACCCCCTCTGTACTAAAAATACAAAACCAAAATGAGCTGGGCATGGTGGCGGGCACCTGTAGTCCCAGCTACTCGGGAGGCTGAGGCGGGAGAATGGCGTGGTGAACCCGGCAGGCGGAGCTTGCAGTGAGCCGAGATTGCGCCACTGCACTCCAGCCTGGGCAACAGAGCAAGACTCCATTTCAAAAAAAGAAAAGAAAATACATGCATGGTGTATAACAAAGCATTAATATGCACAACATACAGAGTTTGCACAAATCAATGAGAAAAAAAGCAATACAAAAATGGGCAAAGGTCAGGCGCAAGTAGCTGGGATTACAGGTGCTAGCCACCAGGCCCGGCTAGTTTTTTATTTTTATTTTTGGTAGAGACAGGGATTCACCATGTTGGCCAGGGTGGTCTCAAACTCCTGACCTTCAGTGATCCACCAGCCTTGGCCTCCCAAAGTGCTAGGATTACAGGAGCAAACCACCACCCCTGGCCAAGATAGTTAAACTACAGAAATAGTCTTAATCCAGAACAGATTCGTTTCCAGATTTGGTTTTCTGCCTAAGCGACCATCTGCTATAAATCTGTGACATAGCTGGAAAGCTAGAAGAGGCACTCCCAGTAGACAGAACAGTGAGCAATTCCTGGACCGTGTGATGAGAACAGATAAATGGGGAAATCCCAATACAAATGAGAACAAATACTCTCTACCAATCAAAAGAGACAACCTCCAAAGAAGTGAGCTTTCGAGGCCGGGTGCAGTGGCTCATGCCTGTAATCCCCGAACTTTGAGAGGCCAAGGCGGGAGGATCCCCTGAGGTCAGGAGTTCGAGATCAGCCTGGCAAACATAGTGAAACCCCGTCTCTACTAAAAACACACAAATTAGCCAGGCCTAGTGGTGCTCACCCATAATCCCAGCTGAGGATTATCCCTCATAATCCCTGAGAGGGGGGCTGAGGCAGGAGAACCACTTGATCCCAGGAGGCGGGATTGCACCATTGCCCTGCAGCCTGGGCGACAAGAGCGAAACTCTATCTCAAAAAAAAAAAAAAAAAAGAAAGAAAAGAAGCGAGTTTTCAGCCCAGGAGGCAGAGGTTTCAGTGAGCCGAGATCTCGCCACTGCACTGCAGCCTGGGCAGCACAGCAAGACTTCATCTCAAAAAAAAAAAAAAAAAAAGAGTTTTCAGAACAAAACTCTGGAATTACCCTAGAATGTAAGAAGGAAACCCACGCCGCTGAATGGGTTTCCTTAGAGACCAATTGGGTTCTCTGGTATTTAGTCTGAAGCCATTAGAATGACTCATCAAAGAGTGAGTTCAAACAGTTCTGGTTCAGACGAAAAGCATTAAGGAAAACCAGCTGCTCAGGAGACTGAGGTAGGAGAATTGCTTGAGCCTGGAAAGTTGAGGCTGCAGTGAGCTGTGACTGCACCACTGCACTCCAGTCTGGGTGACAGAGTGAGACCTCATCTCAAAAAGCAAACAAAAATGTCCTCAGATTACTGGCTGATTGCAGCCCACCATCTGTTTCTGTGCAGCTTAAAAGCTAAGAATGGTTTTTATGTATGGCCGTTTGAAATCCATTTATGAATAGGGAACATACTAATTTTGAACCCCAATTAAGTGAAATGTCCTTCTTCTTCCTCCAAAAGAATTTTCTTATTTTCAGCTGGGCGTAATGGCTCACACCTGTAATCCTAGCACTTTCAGAGGCTAGAACATCCCATTCCTTATTTGGAGATGCTTCCTTAACTATTCCTGGGCAACTTCCTTTTCTTTCTTTGTTCTGTCTCCCTTACTCAAATAAAAAAAGTACGAAGAATTAGCCAGGCCTGGTGGCAGGTGCCTGTAGTCCCAGCTACTCGGGAGGCTGAGGCAGGAGAATGGCATGAACTCAGGAGCAAAGGTTGAAGTGAGCCAAGATCGTGCCACTGCACTCCAGCCTGGGTGACAGAGCAAGACTCCGTCTCAAAAAAAAAAAAAGAAGAAGTTTATTATTCATTATAGACCTGTGTGTTACCCCAAATTTTCTATACAATTATTCATTTTTAATTTCATCAATTTAAAGAGTTACACAAACTTGTGCAACTTGTAAGTGACAGAGTCTGGCTTTGAACCCAGGACGCCTGACCATTCATGCTGCTGCCTCTCAGGAGGGGTGGTGGCGTGCTTTCTTAGTGATGACTGGAGCTTTGCTAACATCACCTCCTATAACCTCCCACACAACCAACCGCCTCCCAGGCCCGGAGCACATTCAGCTCATCATCATTTACTTTTGGCGCCATCTAGTGGAACCAACACTAATCTGGAGTCCAAATTGCCAACTCATACCCTTCAGCGGCTGTCTAGTTGTGAGGCCTTGAGAAGTCCCAAGGTTTCTGGCTACAGTGTTCTCACCTTAAACCGGGGAGGTGAGTGAAGGCTTGCACAGCACCAGCACCCGAGGGAAGAAATGCTTAGGGCCTGGCATAGTAAAGTGTTCAATAAACATTGTGGCCCTCCGGCATGTTGCCTCATCCCTGCAATCCCTGTACTTTGGGAGGCCAACACAGGAGGATCGCTTGAGGTCAGGAGTTCCAGACCAGCCTGGCCAATATAGCAACACCCCATTTCTGGAAA